CAACCGAGTGCACGGAGATCCCGGGGTGCTGCCCTTCTCGTGCATGGTCCCGGTGAAGCACAAGTGAGTCTGACCCCGGGGATTCCCTCCTGCCCTGCCCTCCCCCCACATAGTTGTGTACTGCTTGGCTGGTAGACACACTCATGCAGCATGAGCATGTCTACCAGCCATGAAGTCTGCAACTACGTACTGATGCTCCTAATAATAATAAAACTTACCTAATTAGAAAATACCAGACATTTTATATGTCCAGTATTTTCTCAATTTGTTTCCCGGACAGAACCCTCAAATACCGGACTGTCTGGTTCAAAACCAGACACCTGGCAACCCTGGGTATGGGTTCAGGAGCTGGTATGGGTTCAGAGGGGGAGCAGAGGGTTTGGGTTATGTGGGGCAGCAGAAGCTTGGCGGGAGGGAGGGTTTGGGGTGCCAGGGGCAGGCTGTGGCCAGGAGACTTACCTGGGCAACTCTAGGCCAGCAACCCAGTGTGTTTCAGGCAGCATCCCTGCTGCCCCAGCCCCACGCAGGCTGCAGGGGCCACGTGTGTTGGTGAATAAGAGCCTGAGGGCTTCAGACAGACAGCTCCCATTGGCCAGAAACTGGCCAGTGGAATTATGCTAGGGGAGGGGACAGTGCACGAAGTCTCTCCCCTTTCCTCCACCATGGCTGTGAAAGAGAAACGGCCCGGCAGCTGCTTTTCTGAGCAGCATGTGGGGGAAGGCAGGGAGTTTGCCTGAGGCTTCCCACTGCGTCTGTGGGCCGGATTTGGTGGTTTGGCAGGCTGGATCCAGCCTGCGTACCTTATTTTGCCCAGGCCTGATTTATACTCTTACACATATTACAGAACATTTTAAAATATTTTAGAGTGTTTTAAAAAATATCTTCGGCCCGTGGGCCAATTGCGGCCCGTGTTCCGGTTTAATACGGCGCCACAGGTAATTTGGCAATATCTATCTTTTATGGCCCCCAACGAATCCATATGTATTGAGATGAATACATTGTAAAATCTCAGTTAATGTCAGTTGGTCTAAATCAGTTATAAATATATTTGGACACAACATGTATACTTGGTGTTATGTTCCTGTTCATATTTTTTGAACTTAAAAGTTGACAGACAACCTTTATTACCAATAATATGTAATGTACTTTACAATGTTCCTGACATATACTTCAGCTTCCTGGATTTTTTTTTCATCTGGCCTTCAGATATGAAAGGCAGAGTGATTTAACACCTGTTTAGATGTGTGATCCATGTGACGAAATGAAAAGTATGCCGTTTGCAATAAACTTTGCATAAAATAGTTAATTTGCATTTAATTTTAATGGTTCAATGAATGTCAGGCAAAATGGTCGGCCCTCACGCATGTTCACTTAATCAAATCTGGCCCTCTTTGAAAAAAGTTTGGACTCCCCTGCCCTAGGGCAAGCTTTTTGCAGCCCCTTCACCTATAAAGCAAAGTGCCTTAGTATCTATAAGTCTCATAGCACAGGCATAAGAGTAAGCCATAAAATCCTCCAAATGCCCTAAACCAGCTTTTTTTCTTATGCCTAAAAGTGTCACAGTACTAAAGGGACCTTTGGAGCTTCTGAAACTGGAAGTGAGTGCTGTGTATCTCTATGGAAAACTGGAAATCTCCTTTCCCCATGGAATAAAACTCCCATTTCTAGCCCTGCAGGAACACTAGATAACAGGCTTGAAAGTTACCACACTTAGATTTATCCAGCATCTCTCAGGTCCTTAACTCAATTTTTGTTTTTTGGAAAGTAAAATGAAAATGTACATTGCTCTGGGGTGGGGCTGGGGGGTTCAGAATTCAGGCTGTCCTGGGGAGAGAGGACTACCCCAACCCTCTTCACAGCAGCAGCTTGGGGCCATGTGAAAAGTGCCTCTTCAATGGGCACAGCCGGGGCAGAGGTGTATATCGCCTGGCTGGATCAGGTATGGAGTTGTCTGCCCCTGTGCTCCCTAGCCAGAGTGAGGAATGCAGCAAACTGCACTTTTCCTGGCTCCCTGAGGAAGGGGAAGAGCCAGCAATGTTTCCATACAAATTTTTTTTTGGGGGGGGGGGACCTTCAGCCATACAAATTGGTGCTGCAGCCTCCGCAGCGCGGGTTCCGCGCTGCGTGGGAGAAGGAGGGCTGCGCTCCCTCCTCCTCCCCACCCCGCTGGGGGGGAATGGAAGCACACTGTCCAGAAGCTTTCCCCACTGCCGGGGGTGTGAAGTCAGGTAAGTGTCCTCCCTCATGTCCAGATTCCCACACTCCAATCCCTCTCACTCATTCTCCTCCCCCTGCCAAGACCCTGCTCTTGTACCCTTCCTCCTGGCCACACACTACACCCTCCCTTGTTCCTGCTCCCTCCCTCTGGCCAGACACCCTACTCCCAGCCTGCTTCTGCACCCCACCTCCCACCCAAACCTCACAACCTCTCTCCTATCTGCACCCCACCTCCCTTCCAGATCCTGCACCCCATCCCTATATCCCACTCACTGGCAGCCCTGTCCCACATACTAAACACCTCATTTTTGTCCCTACCCCAGACTCTAAGGGGGTCCATAAAATCCACTAACTCTGGAACCCCAGAAAAGTAAATCTGGTTTACGGGAAGCCCTGAACCTCAGTCCTCCCCTTCTCTTCCCCTAACTCCTTGAGGCTGGGGCACCAGAGGGGTGAGATGTCTCAGTCGGAGCCACATCAGTGAGCATTGGGGATTTTGGGAGTTTTATTGCTTCATACTTGTGTGGGCCCCAACTAATTTTTCTGTGGGTCAGTAGCCTCCAACCCAAAAAGGTTCCCACCCCTGCCATAAATAAAGAAGACATTGAAACCTGTTGGGTTGAACATGAATTAATATTTTATTTTTATTTAAAATGAAGTTTGATTAAGCATTTTATCTTTCTCATGTTAATCTGTTTAATAATTTAAATTAAACCATTCTCCCTAGCTGCACCACTAGCAAAATGGCTTGGGTGTAATTATGTAATTAACAGTGAGATTCCATTAGCAACTGCTGGTCTGCTGAAAGGTTTACATTGGGCCAGGTGGTCCTCGGGCTAAAAAGTTTGAAAACCACTGAAATAGAGGCACCCCTAGCTTCATCTCTGGAAAGACTGTCCTGGGCTCCCTGATGCTTCACGAGAGCCCACGGAGAGATTGGGTCTGTTACCACAGCAGTGAAATCATTGTATCACTCTTGTGTGGATGATGGACAGACTCTTTGTGAGTCTTCCTCATCCACGCAGTTGATGATTTAAAAATTTTAAATGGTGTGTTAAGTTGTCATGTGAAAACGCTTGACATGTCCACAGAGAGGCAGAATGTATCATCTCTCTGCAGAGAGGGTTGTCATGACTTGTGTGTATGGGTGAACAGGCTCTTTGCTCCATGAAGAGGTGAGATGTTTTGACTTCCTGTTTCAAGTGATTTCT